CACAATAGGACAACGATCCCTTCTCCTCCCAGTTCATATCTAAGACCCTCACGGCAGAGCTTGTGTGAAAGGGAAACCACAGTTACTGTGTACTCAGCCTTCACCATGTGTGTGGTGCACAGCACCGTACTAGCAGGTGGGGTGAGAGAGCAGCACAGAAAGTGGCCCTCAGAGGACCAGCGCACAGCAGGCTGAAAAGTGACCCCCCGCTCCCTCCAAGTGCTGGGCCGAGAGTCAGCTTTCCTGAGCCAGATGGCACAGCGTCCTCTGGGCTCATTCTCGCTGCCCGGCACCCGCTGTACAGAGGACATGCCTCACCTCCACTGTCTTTCCTGGATCCCCGCCCACCCTGCAGCCAGATCCTCCGCTGAGGGAGCACAGCTGTGCACACTCGGAGGCGCAGGGGCTGAGGCGGAGCTCACCCTTCCACCTGCCCGCCCGCCGTCAGCACTGGCCTTGGCCCCTGCCAGGACCATCCGACCCACGTAGAAGCAGATGCATGTGTGTCTTTTCCTCTTTATCACAGAGTAAAACCAACTAGATGCACTGAACAGTGTCCGGACTTGGATCTCAGCCGAAACCTCGACTTGCCCGGCTTCCCAGACCCCAGAACAAGCCAGCCCCGACCATACTCTCGTACCACTTGCATTTTCTCCCCACAGCACTTTACTTTGCAATCATTCACTGTGTCTTCATTTTATCACTGCAGCCGCAAATATCATGTGAGCTCCAGGAGGGACACGAGCCACATTCTGAGTCTCCACTAGTTTCCAAGCACTGTGCTCGGCCCTCTAAATTTCAGCACGCTCCACACTCAGGGAATTCAAGGGGCTGGCGCTGTGCACCCTGCCTCACAGAATCTCAGCTAAGACGCGGTGTGTTCATCAGCTGTTGCTGTGTCACAAATGGACACAAACCTCGTGACTCAAACAATGGCGGCTGTGTTATCTGCCATATCTGTGGCTGGGGTTCTGCATGGGCCTGGGTGGGTCCCTGCTTCGGCATGGTGGCCATCGAGGACTATTAGGGCTGGGGTCACCAGCTGGAGAAGCGGCTTTTCCAAACCCCTCTGATCCTTAGCAGCATCCATTTCCTTGAGGTTGCAGTGCTCAAGGTGGCTGGCTTCTTCCACTTCCCTGGCAGGTCAGGCCCTGTACCCTACGCAATCCCACACACCTCACTGGTTGGTCAGAAGCGAGCCCCAGGCCCTGTCCACACTCAGAGAGAATCACACAAAGAAAGGCATGAATTCAGAAGGCTGAGACACAGGGCCACCTTAAAGACCACCCAGAGTCAGGTCCTGCCCCAGGTGTAAGGCACAGGAGACCAAGTCTGCGGGCTGATTGGATCCCAGCCATGCTGCACCTCTCCTGGATTGCTCATCCTGCCTAGATCCCAGCCTTGCTTCAGAAAGAAGTGGCTCCCTTGGGCTGATCTCTGTGGTCCTTCCAGTTTCGGCCAGGATGGGAACAGCATGGCTAGGAGACCCTGCCTCCCCTCCTCCCCTCAGGAAGACAGAGCAGCCTGTCCCCTGTGTCCTCCACGTAGGGTCCATCAGCCCTGTCACCCCTTTGCTCTCTCTGCAGCATCATCTATGGCATTGTGGTCCGAACCATCTGGAAGAAAAGCAAAGCCCCCGAGACAGTGATCTCCAACTGCTCAGGTGAGTCTGGGCGCGGGCCTGGCTCCTGGCTGATGTTTGCTCCTCGCAGGTTCTCTCCAGGCGTCCCAGGTTACAGGCCCGCCCCATAATACACAAGTGTGGTGCCATCCCCAGCCCTGTCCTTTATGCTTGGCCTACTGAGAGCCAGGCGAAGGCAGAGGGCTCTGGGGCTGCCAAGCTGTTTCAGCAGAGCGCCCGGGCCAGTCATAGACCGAGGAGGGGCTCTGCCTTGGGCTGGAGCTTAGAGCTGAGGCGCAGAGGCTGCTGCCTGTCCACACAGCAGTCCTGGCTGCGAGCAGTGAAGGCTGGGCTGCATGCTGTCCACTGTCCCTACACGCCAGGCCCTGCAGCGGCCCTCTACACTTGCCCCATCCTCTTCCGTGCTGTGAAACCTGGAGGCTGCTGTGCCTCCTAGGTGAGCTCCCAGGGGCCTGGCTGCTGTCACCACAGAAACACAGCAGGAACCAGCCAGTTGGGGGAGAGGGTAGGCTCAGGAGTCATTACGAGGGGCTGGTTGTTCTACAGGATGAGACCGGCTCTATGAGGCTCCTTCTTTCCTTGGGCTCACACAACAGGACATACACACACCCAGCACACACGAGTACACAGCCTTTGCACACCCACACGTGCTCACATCACACAAGGGCAGCACACTTCAATCCCAACATCCAGAGTGCAGAGCTGGCCTATGCCCTCGGTGGGCCACTACAGCAGCACCACCCACAATGGCTCCCAGAGGCTGAAGTGAGCTGGACCAGACTCCCGGGAGCCCACTCGTGAGCAGACTTGTAGCTACAGCTCTGTTAGGCCAAGATGGAGCTTGTTTTATCCCAGAGAAGCTTATTTTTCCATGTGACGCAAGACAGCCAGGTGGATCCACACATGGGCAAGGAGACTCAGCGTCCCTTCCGTGGGAGCAGGTGGAGACGCACTGTGGGTCTCGTTCTGGGCTCGGTTCTGCTGTGCTCTCTTCTCATCGGGAGTGGCACAGGGCATGGGGTGACGAAGTAATCTGACGGAAAGCACAGCAGAGACAGCGCAGCTGTTTTCTGCAGATAAGAGCAGGCTCACCGAGTAGGATGGACAGAGAACCCGGGATTCCTTCCCTAAATCAGGCTGCCTTCCAGGAGGAAGAGCACTGTGGAGAGGTGACCAATGAGTAAAGGAAGAGCTTAAATAAATTTCTTAATCCTACTTTTTATTCTTTCTTAGTACTGGGGATTGAACCCAAAGCCTTTTACAAGCTTCAACCCCAGCCCTATTTTTAAACAGTCTCCTTAAGTCACTAAATTTCTAGGGCTCAAACTTGCAATCCTCCTGCCTCAGCCTCCCAGAATGCTGGGATTACAAGAACGCCCACCATGCCCAGCCCTACTCTATTAAAAATCCAAAATCAAGGTCATTGTTGCACATTCCCCATGACAGTTTCTCTAAGCCCTGGTTTCCAAGGGATCCCATCTCATCTCCTGATGCTTTATTTGGATCTGTATAAAGTGAAAGCTGGGTCGTGCTCTGTAGGCACAGGACCAAATTTTGTTGAAGTAGCTGAGTTCCTCCTGTACTTTCAGACTTAGATCAGATTAAACCCTTGTGCAGCGATTTCAGCCAATTCCTGGGGCCCCTGTGCCTCTCTTCCTATGGCTCTGAGACCTGACCTCGCCATCCTCCAGGCCTGGGGCACTGCAGCACCCCTCACTCTCCATGACACCACACACAAAAGCACACAGGCAAATGCTGCTGGAGACTCAGGGTGAGAGGTTTCCACACGCGTCAGCCCCCGTCATACCTTTCTACAACACGTCCCGTTTCCTACTTTCCCACAGGACACAGGGCACTGAGAGGTCGGCTCCGGCTGATCTGGGGTGTGACGACCTCTCCTTGAGGTGGAAATGCTCCTGCAGGTCTTCCTCTCTAGCGAGGTCCTGTGAGTCCACTAAACCCAAGTTAGCAGCTCTTTCAGGAGTACCAGAGCCCTCCTTCCAGAGCGAGGCCAGCTGCTATTCCCAAAGGCTCACACCCTGCCTGCATCACCTTCTCAGAGGGAACCCACTCGGCTTCCCATGCATCCCAGCAGCCGCCAGCTTGGGAGTTGGCCGACAGACCCCTGTGCTCTCCAGCCACAGAGGCGCACCAGGAGTAGGACTCATCAGCAATGGGACACCGACAGTGCTGAGTGTGAGCAGAAGCTCGCTCTGTAAACCTGCCTGCAAAACCCAGGCCATTCCACTTTAAGAACTGTTCCTCGTGGTGAAAATGTATTTTTTCCCACTTCAAGGCTGCCTGAAAGGAAAAGGCCTGGTTCATAAAAGATCTAGGCTCTTCCCACGGTGAGCTTCTAATCCTGCAGTTATTTGTATCTTTATATTTTTCTTTTATTAGGGCTAGAAAAAAAACTAAGGGCCGTAGCACCTAGCTCCATCCCCAGGCCTTTCTCTGCTTTTATTTTGAGACAGGGTCTTGCTCAGTTGGTAAGTTATCCAGGCTGGGCTTGAGCTTGCAGTTGTCCTGCTCAGCCTCCCAGAATGCTTGGATTATAGGCAAGCATCACCATACCCAGCTTTATGTTTTTCTTGCATGTATTTTGTTCAATGTGGTGGAACATTTTATCCAATTACTGTTTTATCCAGTTAATGAGGAGGAGGCTGATTCTGAGTAGTTAATGGACTTCTCTTAAATTCTTTAAGATAGGAAGTGGCAGGACTCTAACGCTGCTCCTAACCCACAGCTCTCTCCTTCCCGCTGGGCCTCACCTCACGGGAAATGTGCAATTTGAACAGCGCGTGGGCCACGTCCCCCTGCAATGCATGATTCTGGACCCAATGCCGTGCTCACAGGTGACGCCTTGGCCACCACACTGCCATTACTCCAGGGCCTGAGGTTCCAGCTTATGAGGCAGAATCTGTGGACAACAAGGTTCAGTATCATACAGACACTGACTCTCTCCAGCTGACCCACAAGGTGACAGTTCTACTGGAGCGAACTGTAACACGCTGTTGAGCTCACCAAGCTACTTAATTTAAAATACAGCAAAAAGATGTGAGAGCCAAAAACAGCCAGGCCTTCCTGGAGAAGCGGGGCCGAGTAGGAGGGGCTGGCTGTGCCAGACATGAAGAGTTAGTGCAGAGTCAAAGCAGTCAGCAGAGTGTGGAGCTGGCACCACGCAACAGACAAACAGGAAGCCTGTAACTTGGCCCCAACAGGCTGGCAGGAAGTCCCCGGCCTGCCAATGACTTCTGTCCCAGGAGAACGTTTGTAAATTGGATTTACTCGTAAGCCAGCAAAGCCAGTCTTACACAGTATCCCTGTGGATCTTCTACAGTACACCTGTAAAAGTTCACAACTCAGGTGTTCATAAGTTGGGACTTATGTACCTGCACAATAAACTGATTTATGTCAAGATACCACAGGGAAAGAAATGAAATTGAGTCTTCAATTCATAGGCAAAAGTAGTTCTAGAGATACTAGAGGCTTAAATGTAAAAAATAAGATTTTAAATTCCTTAAAACCAAAGGTAAGATGATATCTTTATGACACTGAATAAGGAAGGATTTCTTAATCAAGATACATAGTACATTAAATTACCAAAAAAAAAAAGAATAAATTTGACTCTGTTAACATTTAAAATATCACACCCACAAGCTAGGAGAAGCCATTTACAATACACGTGCCTGGGGAAAGACTAGTATACTGAATATATAAAGCATTCCTAAAAGTCAATTTTAAAAGATTTCTTTTAAAAGACTAATACATTTTTTAAATCAGTAAAATACAAACAAGATTTACAGAAAAGTAAGCGGGAATGGCCAAAAATAAGATTTACAAGCTTATTGGCAAGCAATCATATATAGGTTTAATATAAATCCCCACCCACAGAATTGGTAAAATTGTGAAAATCTATTAATTATAGAAATTGGAAAGGATGGAAATCACATGGTCTGTACTTCACTTGACAGCATAATTTCTCAAAAACTTAGTAAACTTATCTGTTTTCTTCTATCAGTCTAGAACAACCATAGTTAAAAGTATTAAGGAAATTCTATCTTTTTAAATTTTTTAGAATTTGGGTCTCTTTTGTCTTTGCTTTCACATCCAACCCTGTCTCTGAACTCTAGACGCCAGCTCGGGTCTCCCTGCAAGGCTGCATTAGTAGTCTGATCCCTGCTTCAAGGACAAATCTTAAAGACTGTTTTCCAGTTAAAAACCTCTGCACGTTATGGTTTAGTTTGGGGACAGGGCCAGCTTCACTGGAGAAGGCTCCTATGTGGCTTAATGTTGTTTAATTTTTTCTAGGCCACACACAGTGTGTAGTTGGTTCTGTGGGAGACCAGAAGCAGTCAATATTTGCAACCCTACAGATCCCAAATTTGAGGGCCTCTCTAACCCCTTTTTATTTCTGCCATAGCCAGCAAAGCCAAGTCTAAGCTTTTTTTTTTTTTTTTTTTT